CCCCCCCCAAAAAAAACACGTCATGGGAGGGGCATCCAGGATGACACCACCGAGCCGACCACATCCTCAAGCTACAAATATATTTTCTCCCTCCATCCGCATACGCGTTTGGGGTCAGCCCCCCCTTTTTTTTGGGGGGGGGTCACCCCTCCTTTTTTCACACCCCCCCCTCTTTTTGGGGGCGATGCTCAAGAGCATCTGCGGGGCAATTCCTCCTCCTCCTCCGCTTGTTTTTCCCCTCGAACCGAGCTCCATCCCAAATCCTTCTCCCCCCGGGACGCCTCGTGGAGCTGCTGATGTTTGACCAAGCTCGAACGGACGCTGAACCTCTTCCCGCAAACCGGACAGGGATACGGTTTCTCTCCCGTATGGATCCGTCGATGCCGACTGAGGTTAGAGCTTTGAACGAAACGTTTCCCGCAAGCCGGACACTCGTAGGGTCGTTCTCCCGTATGGAGCCGCTGATGGATCACGAGGACGGAACGAGCGCCGAACCCTTTCCCGCATTCCCCGCATTTATAGGGTTTTTCTCCCGTGTGTAATCCTTGATGTCGTACCAAGCTGGAGCTGACCCGGAATCGTTTCCCGCACTCGGCGCACGTATAGGGGGTCTCGCCGGCGTGGGATCGCCGATGGATAAGGAGATCGGAGCTTTGTACGAAGCTTTTCCCACATTCCGGACACTTGTAGGGTTTTTCCCCTGTATGCCGACCTTGGTGTCGGATGAGATGGGATCGTTCGTTAAAGGATTTCCCGCAAAAAGAGCAGGAAAAGGGTTTTTCTCCGGTGTGGGTCCGACGATGCTGGAGGAGATCCGAGCTTTGCCCGAAGCTTTTCCCGCATTCGGGACATTTATAGGGTTTTTCTCCGGTGTGGATGCGTTGATGACGGAAAAGATTGGAGCGAGCGCTGAAACGTTTCCCGCATTCGGAACAAATATAGGGAATATCATCCGGGCGGCTCCGGGAATGCGGGATAGGCTCAGCCTTCAAGCTTTTCCCGTAAGGAATTTCCATCCCGTGCAGGCGTTGATGACGGAGGAGGTTGGATCGACGGCTGAAGCATTTCTGGCATTCGGGACAACGATGGGGTTTTTCGCCCGTGTGGGTTTTTTGATGGGAATTCAGGTGGGAATTCCAGGTAAAAGTTTTCCCGCATTTCGGACAGGGATAAGGACGTTCTCCGGAGTGGATGCGTTGGTGGCGGAGGAGGTAGGCGCTGTGGTTGAAGCTCTTCCCGCATTCGGTGCATAAAAATCTCCTCTTATCCCTCGGGATCGGGTCCTCCGGGGTGTCGAACCCCTTTCCAGGGAGAAGGGGGTGAGCCGAATCCGTTCCCGGGGGATTTTCCTGACGGTTCGGTGCTGTCGTGCTCATCCCAGCGCTGGCTGGTCCTTTGCCTGCTGGGATGAGGGCAGGG